GAAATGGAGGGAAAGCGTAGAACAGCTGGTCTCTCCACGATAGGAGGAAAGCGTCCGACAGGGAGCCCGGAGATCGCCCTTGGAGGGAGCAGAACACGTGGCACTTCCTGTTGGCTCGTGAGGCAAACAGGTCAACCTGGGGAAATCCCCACCTCTGGAAGATGGAACGGATGATATCTGGGCGAATCGACCACTTGTGCGTCTGGAAGGATCTGCTGAGACGGTCCGCTAGAGTGTTCTGGACTCCAGGGAGGAACGATGCCATGAGATGTATCGAGTGGGCAATGCAGAACTCCCACAGGCGAATGGCCTCTTGGCATAGGAGAGACGACCGGGCTCCTCCTTGCTTGTTCATGCAGAACATGGCCGTGGTGTTGTCTGAGGACTGACACGCAACGGCCATGTAGGAGACCGAGAAATGCCTGACAGGCTAGGCGCACCGCCATCAGCTCTCGAACATTGATGTGCAGAGCTAGTGGGGATGCGGTCCACAGGCCCTGGGTATGGTGCTCCCCAAGGTGAGCGCCCCAACCTAGAGATGAAGCGTCCGTGACCAGGTGCAGGGAGGGTTGTGGGGCGTGAAACGGCACTCCTGCGCAAACTGCCTTGTGATCCAGCCACCAGGTGAGAGAGGTCAAGACCAAGTTCGGAACTGTGACCACCATGTTCAGGTTACCCTAATAAGGACGGTACACCGATGATACCCAGGCCTGAAGTGGGCGAAGCCGAAGTCTGGCATGCCTGGTTATGTAAGTGCAAGAGGCCATGTGTCCCAACAGGCCGAGGCACGTCCTTATTGTGGTGATCGGGAAGACCTGGAGTCCGTGGATAATGTTTGTGATGGTGTGAAACCAAGTGTCTGGCAGAAGAGCTCGGGCGAGTCTGGAGTCTAAGACTGCCCCGATAAACTCTATTCTCTGGGTTGGCTCCAGAGTGGACTTTTCTTTGTTCAGTAAAATGCCTAACTCGTGGAATGTTTGTAGTATTATCTGGACGCGAGTTTGAACTTGCTCCCTGGTGCGGCCGCGCACCAGCCAGTCGTCTAGGTACGGGAACACCTGTATCCTTTGTCGACGAAGGTATGCTGCCACGACAGCCATACATTTGGTGAACAGTCTCAGAGCCGCGGACAAGCCGAAGGGAAGGACGGCAAATTGGTAGTGCACATTGTCTACTACAAATCGAAGGAAGCACCTGTGTGGGGGGTACATTGTTATATGCAAATATGCGTCCTTCATGTCGAGGGCGGCATACCAGTCTCCAGGATCCAGGGAAGGGATGATGGTCCCCAAGGAGACCATGCAGAACTTCAACTTTACTATGAATTTGTTGAGTCCGCGTAAATCTAAAATGGGTCGCAGACCCCCTTTTGCTTTGGGGATCAGGAAGTAGTGGGAATAAAACCCCCTGCCCCTTAACTCTGGCGGAACCTCCTCTATGGCCCCCATAGAGAGGAGCCCAAAAACCTCCTGTATAAGGAGATGCCCGTGAAAAGGGTCCCTGAAGAGGGACGGGGAAAGGGGTGGGAGGGGGGGAACGAAGAAAACTGGAGAGCGTATCCCTTCTCCACCGTGCGAAGGACCCAATGGTCCGAGGTTATAAGGGACCAAACACGGTGGAAACGGGAGAGGCGATCCTGAAAGAAAGGGAATGGATCATGGGTAGTGGCTGGCACGCCGTCCTCGAGCGCACCTTCAAAAATTTTGCCTAGGTCCTGAAGGTGGTCTAGGAGGGCCTTGGTTCTGACCGGGTTGGGGCCCGGTCGACCTCCGTCTACCACCTCGCCCCCACCTTCTGGGGAAGTCCTGTCTTGGACGAGGAGGAGGAGGGTAGAACCTTTGTGGCTGGGGCCTAAAGGGCCTGCGCTGGGGTCCTGGGACATGCATCCCCAGGGAACGCATGATGGTTCTGGAGTCCTTGAGGCTCTGCAACCGAGAGTCCGTCTTGTCCGAGAACCACCCCTGGCCCTCGAACGGCAGATCTTGCAGGATCTGCTGAAGTTCTGGCGGTAACCCGATACCTGGAGCCAGGAGACGCGTCTCATGGCTATCCCAGACGCTAGTGACCTGGCGGCAGAGTCTGCTATGTCCAGGGAGGCCTGCAAGGAGGCCTTTTTACCTTCCTCCACTAGGGCCCCAAACTCTTCTCTCGAGTCCTGGTGGACCAACTCTTTAAATTTACCCATGGAATTCCATGAGTTGTAATTGTACCGACTCAAGAGCGCCTGTTGGTTTGCGGCTCTGAGCTGCAGACCCCCCCGCTGAGTAAACCTTACGCACAAACAAATCGAAGCGTTTGGCGTCCTTCGATTTGGGCGCTGCCGCCTGCTGACCATGACGCTCTCTTGCGTTCACTGAGGAGACTACTAGTGAACACGGCGGAGGGTGTGTATAGGAGGTACTCATGGTCTTTAGAGAGGACAAAGTACTTCCTCTCTACACCTCTGGCAGTGGGAGGGATGGAGGCCGGGGTTTGCCATATGGCATTAGCGTTAGCCTGGATCGTACGAATAATGGGCAATGCCACCCGGGATGGGGCATCAGCTGAGAGGATGCTCACCACCAGGTCCTCCACCTCCACTATCTCCTCAGCCTGTAGGTCCATGTTCTGTGCCACTCTACACAACAAGTCTTGGTGGGCACGGAGGTCTATTGGAGGTGGGCCTGAGGCGGTTGTACCCGCCACCCCGTCATCTGGGGAGGATGAGGACGACGCCTCAGGGGGTAAAGGATCCAGATGAGGGTCTGGCTCCAAGGGTCCCTGATGTGCAGGATCCCCTGCACCGGGGTCTGGGGCTTGCGTGGGTGTCGGCACTGGAGCCTCCATGCCCCCTGGGGGAGGACGGGAGATGGTGGCCTCAGGTACCCTGGTCTCAGAGTGTGCCGAGCGAGAGGCCGCTGGTGGAGCCCCTTGAGCTTGGTGATATGCCTATGGGGTCCAGAAAGACCAATGTGCAGGGTCCTGTCTAGGGTCCTCTGCCCCCTCCTGCCAATGACCCAAGTCATCTGCAGCCTGACCCTGAGCAGGGTATGCTGATCGGGAAGCCCCTTCCGATGAGCGAGACGCCGATCTTGGGGGCCAGGGTGGTGCCGAGCGTGATTGCAGGGGCTCGTCCTGGTATGGTGCCGAGCGGTGCCGGTCCACAGGCGAGCGGTCTCTGCGCGGTGCCGGTGAGCGGTACTGGGATCGAGAACGGTGCCGAGGGCCATGCCGGTACCGGGATCCAGATCTGGATCGCGAAGATGAAGGCCGTCTGTAGACTCGGTGCCGGGAGCGGCCTCGCGAACTGGAGCGGTGCTCATACCAGTGCCAGGAACTGCGTCTAGACTCCGACTGGTACCGATGCTCAGGTCGATGGCGAGAAGTAGACCGGTGCCAGGAGGAAGATCTGGGCCGCGAATACGACCGGCGCCGAGATGAAGATCGGTGCCGAGATTGCGAGCGGCATCGGGACCTGCTCCGAGACCGGGAGTGGTGCCGCGAGTCCACGCTCGGAGCGTATCAGGGCAGGGTTGCCCCTGGATTGCACCGTGCGAAGGGGATGCGGTGCCACGGGCTGAGATGGCACCGGCTTTGTGAGGGCGATAAGGTCTTTCGCCGTTGCAAAAGTCTCTGGCGTAAAAGGGAGACAGGGCTCAACCACAGGACGAGGCGGTGAGCCAGTCCGGACCGGACTCAACGACCCTACACACAGTGCCGGAGTCAACGGTGTTGACGATGCCTGCACCCTCTGGCGCTCCGAAGCCGGACGCAGCTCTACCACCTGTGCGGGGGGAGCCGGTGCCTGTTGGACGGCAGCGTCCTGGGTCTTGCGGGGTCTTTTATGTCCCGGAGACAGGGAACGGCACCGAGGGGCTTGCGGCGGACGCGGTGCCGTGGGAGGACGGTGCCATGGGGCCTTATCCGCGTCTGCTCGCGGTGCAGTACCGGAGGGTGCCGCTGGGGCACTGCGCACCGAGGCGCTCGGTGCTGGAACTTGGCGTGCCGAAGGGAGATCTGGTCTAAGTGCCGCCTCCATAAGGAGCTGCTTAAGTCTAAAGTCCCGCTCCTTTTTGGTCCTGGGCCTGGAAGACTTGCAGATCTTACATTTGTCCATCTGGTGAGACTCCCCTAAACACTTCAGACAAGAGTCGTGAGGGTCTCCCGTTGGCATAGGCTTAGCACAGGTCGCGCACGGGTTAAAGCCAGGAGCCTTGGGCATGAGCTCGGCTGCGCGCCGGGGGGAAAAGGAGAGATAATAGCCCACTTAACCCCCGCTAACTATTTATATCTACTCTACAAAACTATTAACAACAAACTACTAATCTAAAAGTATATAACCAACAACTATCTACAAGAATAAACAAGTAAAGCTAGGGAGAGTGGAGAACAGCTCCACAGTTCCAAAGACCGTCACGGGCGGTAAGAAGGAACTGAGGGGGCGCTGGGTCGGCTGGGGTATATATCCAGCGCCATGAAGGCGCCACTCCAGGGGGCTCCACAGCCGACCCACCGGGTGTTGCTAGGGTAGAAAATTCTCCGACGATTGTGCACGCAGCGCGCGCACTTAATTGGAATCGATATAAGCAAGCACTCGAAGAAGAACTTATCATTTTTCCTCTATATATTCACCACTACCATATACTCACAATATCACCATCACTATTTTATTCAGAACCACAGCTATTCCCAAAAATGGTACTAATTAATAATCTGGATTATAATAATTATGTTTTTAGTGAAAGTTTTTAATTCTTTTATCATGCTTTCAAAAGCTGGTCAAAGACATTTTTATTTAATAAGCTTTAAATCCTTTTTTTGTCCATCATTATAAATTAGTGGATGAAAACTCAGACTATTATATTTAATGTATTTATCATCAGGATTGGGTTCTCAAAACAGATCATAATATAGTTTAATTAAGATGGCAAATATTTGCCTACAATATCAGTTGTTTATAAAACAGACCCAAAGAACAATAAAAATCATCTCTTTTTACGGTTTTACATTGTTCTAGGTACCTGTGGTTAAAGGCAGGTGAGTGACACTAGTAAGACAGGTGAGAGTGAACCAGGTGGATGCCAGTGTTGCTCCAAATAGCAGCAGCAGAAGTATAAGTTTCAGCATGCCCCTGATAAAATCTGCAAACCTGAAATAAAAGCACAAATCTCATCAATTCAAATGTTATTTTTCAAGTTATTTAAGCATGACACTTTACAGTAAAATTAATACATACTCACTATATAATCCAGAAATTAGAAAAGACCCCTGCATCTTATTCTGAAACTGCTAGAAGGAGTTATATATAATGGTGATTTTTGTCATGGTTAAACTGAAGCCTGACTTGATTCCACAGAAGTTCAAAAAAGTCTGTCTCATCAATTCAGGATCATTGGCATACAGGAAGGATACTGGTTTGCAGTTCTTAGAATGTAAATCCTCTTGGGCAGGGACCATATTATTTTTAAATATCTGAATAAACACCATGCTCTAAAACTGGAAAATAACTGTTTAACCTCTGCTTTGAAATCTCTCTTTCCACAGTCTCACAACCACAATTCAAGATTTCTATGCTGTTTTAAAAGTATCTTCACAGCTCCAATATACAAAACCTCATAAAACACTACACTCACTCCCTACCTCTTCCTTATGCTTGACTCCTATGTATTTTTGCCAGATCACAGTTATCATAGGCATCATCTCTGCTATTATAACACATCTTTAAAATTAACTCTTTGCTGCCATTCTCTGACATCTCCTTGTGGACATCTAGCTGCTAGCTGAAGCTCAACACGGCTAAAATGGAGCTCTTGATCTTCCCCATCAAGCTCTCCCCATTACCTCCTTTCTCAATCACTATGGATACCACCACCATGCCACCTGTCACTGAAGCCCATAACTTAGGCATCATCTTCGACTTGGACCTCCCTCTATGTCCTCATATTCAGGCTATGACTAAACCTTGCTGATTCTTTCTATCTAAGATCTGTAAGACATGGCCTTTTCCATTCATCCACAGCTAAAACTCTGAACCAGGCTTTCATCTGCCTGGTGAAATTACTGTAACATCCTATTCTCTGGCCTTGATAAATGCAATCTTGCCCCTGTTCATATCCATGCAGAATGCTGCTGTAAAGATAATTGTCATAGCCTGGTGCTTTGACCATATCACCCCTCCCTTTGCATCACTTAACTTGTTTCCTTTTCTCTATTAAATCAAACTACTTCTCTTCGTTAACCCATCCAATCATCTTTCATTCGCTATCAAGATGTTGACTCCCAGCCTTTGACTGGCCCATGATGCCAGTGTTTATAGCCCACTTATTAAATTTTCAAACAAGTATTTTTGTACTTTCTCCTATGCTGCCCCCTGAGAATTGGGAAGAGCCCCCTGTAAACATCTGCAAAACTCACTCACTATCCTCCTTGACAATCCTAGTTCGCCCTGATGCCTAGAAAAAGCTTGACGACATTTAGCCTGTTGGTATGCAGAGAACACAACCTATCATGCTGGCTAGTACCGTTTCATTGTTTATTTATACTCCCCTCATGTGTGTCTGTCAGCCTGTAGTCTCATTTATTACTTTGATTGTAAGCTCTTTGGGGCAAGAACTGTCTTTTTGTTCTGTTTTTACAACACTCAGCACAATGAGGACCTGGTCCATGACTAGGGTTCCTAAACACGACAGTAATTCAAATAAAAATGAAAAATAATAATAATTCAAAACAATTCAGCCAATGGGGACACTGTCTCGCTTTGTATATTTACAAGGGAAACTTAAAAGATAGTTCAGATGGTGTTTTTCAGCAGCTAAACATAAGAGGAAATTTTAATTTTCTTCCCCCAAAGCAGATCTCTCTCAGAACAAAATCACATCCTTACTTACATGGCTGCTTGCCAGTCAGTGGCATTTAGACTTGAGGGTGTATTGATCAATTAGTTTAGGGTGACTTGCTTGATTATGTGCAAGTGTAGATATGTATTTATTTCATCAAGCTAGACTGAAGAGCTAGGATCCATTTTTGTGGAGAAACTCAGACCTTTCTGGTTATTCTCAAATCCTCAATACTAATATCACTATGAAGTCATTGTAATAAAGAACAACATGCTGTGTATAACAAGAGAATAAGTTGGGTCTTGTAAACCCAAATGAATCAATGACGGAGGTCTCAGTAAATAAGGCAAGCAGAAACCCTATGCTCAGACACTTGCACCTGGATACAAAACTAAATAAGATCTATTAAACAGTTTGCTGGGGCACTCAATTTTTTTGCACCTTTTGTGTTTATTTAAAAAAAAAAAAACAATCCAGCTGAGCACTGAACCCACAACACAATTAGTACTGCAACTGCTCTTTTCAAAAGAGATTTTAACACTGGTGCAAACTTAGAAAAAACATTTGAGAGAGGGAGATGTTATTCAATTTGTTAGTAATTTTTTGTAGTTCCCTTGCTATTATTGAAGTTATGTCTGAAGAACTTCTCCCCTCATGGTTCAGTTTTAATCCTCCTGTTGGATTGGGGTAGTGTGGTCCAGGAAGTTTGGAATGATGAAGACATCCTAACTTGTTTGCTAATTGCCTTATTTTCCCCTGCTAAAAAAAAGAGATGGGTGGGTATTTTAAGGTCCAATCCTACATGGCCCACCTGATATAAAAGGTAACACTATATACAGCTTGAAAGTAATGCCACCTTTAAGTAATGTTCAGCAGTTTATCTAGCATGGGAGTTTTATGAAATATTGGATCTTAAGACCACATCTTTCCTCTTATTTTGTCCTTCCCTCTATTTCAGCTCCACACTGAACTTAGAAGTCAATAACTGGTAGAGCTAGAATCAATGCTGTATATCATCTTAAAGTTTGTAATCCCAGCTTTCAAATAGCATAGAGTATTAACTTCTAACTGCAGAAGTTTAGCTGTTCATGCTGGATTTGAAGGGGGGAAGAAGAAAGTAATCAGTTTGACCCAACTTTAAAATCACATTTATTCATTCATTTTTTTCTGTATTTTTGTCATTAAACTAACTATGTGAAACGTCTCAGAAGTGTCACAAAACATGAACTTCATATTTGTCCCATGGAGCAAAGTCCGAGGGGTTATTTTGCTGCCAACATCAGTATTCCATTTCTAAAGCTGAGCGGGGCTACATATGCTGCCTAATAAAAAAAAATGGATGAAATATCAGATTTGGGGTGGGAGGGTGGGGAAAAATGGAGTCAGATATTTTCTCCACTTTACTGTACTGAGCAGTTGCACCTGTCTTTTAATATAGAAAGATAAGCTGCTGTTGAAATTAATAGCAGTAACGGGCATCTCAGATTTTGCTGGGAGTAAAAGTTGACATTTGCCCCTTATTTGGTTCTAAGTTTCACAAAACTGTTGAATTAAACAAAAATGGAGAAAACATAACAAATAAGGTCATACCCAGTCCTTTAAGGGCCTGTATTTCACCTCTGGTGAACTCAGTATGACTAGTAAAAATGCTTGCAAGACCTGTAAACTTTTCACAGCACTGGTCTCAGTCCAATGATCAGAAAGAAAATTTTTGTTCCCCAGTCCCAGCAGCTCTGTCACTTACAACCGTGCAGCAACACACCAACACCACCTTGCACCCACAACTTCATATACTACCATCATCTATTATCCCAAACCAGCACTAACGGTGAATGTGTGCATGTACTAAAGAAGAGATAATCCAGGATAGTAGGTGAGTATCTGCATATCACTGTGCCCTGTGCAAAATCTTTCATGACCAAGCAAATCCCCCTGTGCTGGATCCTGCAGTTAAGGCCTAAATGTATGTTGCTGAGAAAAGTCTGTTGCTAGGGAAATTATCACCAAGTCACAACATTTCAGCATTTTGACATCACTGCAGGATAAAAGCAGAAGGAAATGCTGGGCTGTGAAGGACAAAAATCCAGAAATATCTGAGATCATTAGCAAACGTGACAAGAAAAATTCTGGGGAAATGGAGATAGATTTATGTTTCAGCGCGATAATAAAACATGAATGTCACTCTTTAAAGTTGCTTTGCTTCAGACCAGTCTCATTCTACCTCTGCCAGCAAAGGGTTCAACACCTGCCAATTGCCCAAAATATCCCAGACTTTTCCATCATTAAAATGCATCACACAAATTAACCAAACATGTCTAGTTCAGGATTGTGGGGGAGTAGAGAGAAGTAGGATTTATTTATATACCTTGTGGAGAAAAACTCCTCATACCACCAAAAGCAAAATAAAGAGTTTTGGATCCTGATTTTCAATATGGGCCTTCCTTTTGAAGGGGCACAATTTAATATCCACAGTGAAATGCAGGCACAAACGCTACCATTGCAGGCAGCAGGTGGTTAAGATATCTACATGGTTCCATTTGCGTCATCAAAAACTGAAGCCAAATTTGAAAAATCAGGCCCTTTGTATGCAGTTAAAGAATTAAATCATGTTAATGTTAATGAAAGAGTAAAATTATATCTAGACTTTATGGTTTGAGGAGAATAAAGTAAAGCAACACTATCATTCTTAAATTGTAACATTTTTGGTTTTACAAATTAGCAGCTGGTAGAACAACCCCCTCCCCCTCAAAAAACTAAAAACAAAAACCCCACCTTACCACAGGCTGGTAAGAGAGATAACTGCTTGCCTGGTAAGTCACAGTCCTGACACTGAAATACATCAGCTTGTCATACTTGACAAGAATCATTACCTAATTTTCCTAATTATAACTTTCAGCAGATTACAATCAAAGTCATCACTGGTTCAATCCTACACAGATACCTGCTGAATAGGCCTAAGAGGAGGGAATCATCTATCAAAAGTGACAAATCACCCTTGCCCACTTTGTGTGTGTGTGCAAACGCTACTGTTTGAACTATATATTGCCTGAATTGCAGAGACATATTTGGAAACAGACTATTAGCATTCTTTTAATTTACTCAAAAGCAAAGTTTTGAACTCTACAAAATACTGACCTTGCTATAAAGTTTGCAGTCTATTTTGCAGCAGTTATAGAGGCATTAAGCATTTTCTGAAACTAAAACTAGGCTATATATTAAATAAATTAATTTACCATAAAGGCTGAGATTTGCATTATGGGTCTGAATCAGCAAGTTCTTGATAGAGAAGCTTAAGGCTACAAAGGGTGCCCCTCTAGTGGGTTCCAGGGCCTCAACTGCAATAGCAAAGGCTAGCCCATATGAGAGAGAATTCCGCATGAGTATTCACACTAGTTTCTCCATCATACTGCTTTTGCTGCATGGACAGGACATATATTAATAGGTAATTATTTACCAAACACTACTTTTATAAATGCCAGGAGGGTTTTAAACTTTTCCCTATGGAGAAAAATGTCATAACCAAATCTAGCAATAGCTAACAAACAATGGGTCCTCTGCAGGGATCCTATTGGAGTATGACCCTTGATTAGTATGATTTAGCTCTTTGGCTAGTTAGCATTTGGAGTACTGTGGTGGGTGAGCTCAAATGTCTTTTTCCCTTTTCCATGTCTGTGGGGGAGCTTTCCTCTTCCTCCTTTCTAGCTGTTAAGTGGAATAAGAGGTGGCAAGAGGAGAAACCCAATAAGAACGGCCATACTGGGTCAGACCAAAGGTCCATCTAGCCCAGCATCCTGTCTTCCGACAGTGGCCAACGGCAGCTGCCCCAGAGGGAATGAACAGAACAGGTAATCATCAAGTGATCCATCCCGTCGCCCATTCCCAGTTTCTGGCAAACAGAGGCTAGGAACAACATTCCTGACTATCCTGGCTAATAGCTATTGGTGGACCTATCCTGCACAAGCTTATCTAGTTCTTGTTTGAACCTACAGTTTGTTATTTATTAGTTATACACGTTGTTGTTGTACAGTAGAAGACGACGACTGTCTCTGCCCCCAAAAGAGATTACAGTTTTGGGTCCCAATCCTGCAATGACGTCTGTGCAGACAGACTCCTGCACCCGTGCAGCATTCATTGCAGAATCAGGGCCTCGGTCATGGATGGAAAGAAGACAGAATTGTACTGGGAAATCCAGAGATGAGTGTAATGTAGTGGTTTTCTATTTTTTAATAACTTAAGTTTCAAGAGCCGCAAGGAAGGTGATGGTTTTTGCTTTTTCGTTTTTTTTTTTAAACAAAGCTTGGATGGAAAGAGTCTGGTAGCTTGGATTGGGAAGGCCATTCCTATTCTCACTTTTTCACTCATAAATGCACATCTCAGATGGTTGGTGGAGAGTGTCACTCTACACCCATGGTGGTCAGGAGGAGAGATGCTAGGAACACTCTGTGTCCACGTATGTGGGAAGTGTGTTGTATTCTCAGCATCAAACACTCAGTGGATCAGATTGCTAGACAGGCATTGGCAGGAAACAGACACTGATGTTCTTTGATGCTTTTCAGAGGCGCTAAACTGGTTCTTCCCAAGATCAGGCAACCTCCTTCTCACAAGGCTACCCTGAAAGGGAGCGGATGGGAAGCACTCTCAGACATAACAATATGACTTCTTAAACTTGATGAGTGAGCAAATGGCATTTTCAACCCATGTAGTCCAGTAACATGAAATATACAAATTACAAAAAGAAACAATACATCACCTTGGAGAGTCATATTTGCCATCTCAAATAGTTCACTAATGATTAGAAATAAATTCAGTTTATAGTCTTAAAAACCTAAGTGATCATTACAGGTGAAGAAAAATGAAGAACTGAAGGGGAGATCATTATTCCTACCTTGCCATTGCTATGCCAACAACACAGCCTCCAACTATGGACCAAAATCCAATCCAGCCTGCATCCACCTGATGGGAAACAGCATGGGGAAATGAAAGTGTTAAGGCTGAGAAAACAAGATGCTACACCTCTACCCCGATATAACGCGACCCGATATAACGCGAATTCGGATATAACGCAGTAAAGCAGCGCTCCTGGGGGACGGGGCTGCGCGCTCTGGCGGATCAAATCAAGTTAGATATAACACGGTTTCACCTATAACTCAGTAAGATTTTTTGGCTCCCGAGGACAGCATTATATTGGGGTAGAGGTGTACTTTGAAAAAAGGAGGTGGGGGGGAGAGTGAAAGGGGGGGAGGGGCGTACTGAAAAATCTGAGCAAAAAAACTGATGGACTTTTCTAAGAAATTCAAAGGGAATATAATTTAGTTTAAAGGATATGGTCAAATAGTCTATGCCCCGAATGTGACCTCTCTTTATATTGGAATCTGCTGGGGACTGTCATCTGGATTTCTATGATACCCTATTAGAGGCTTAAAAATAAAATCTCTCTCTCTACTGATTTTGTCCTTTCAATTTGGCAAACATTGATTTTCTTTTCCTTCGCTATTTGTGAAGGTACAGCAGCCATCACTACTCCCTTTTATTTATTTGCCTCTTTATTAACATCAATAGGTGCGTTCAGCTCTGAAAATATGAACTGCCACTGTAGAATCAGCAGGGGGAGCCACAATAACTTTTGGTATGTCAATGCTAAAAGTTAGTTTTGTTTTATATTTCAGTAGTGAAGTGGTGCGTATATATTGATAGTTCCAGAAAACAGTGAGAAAAACTAAGGTAGGGAATATGTACATCAGCTCAAACACCATTACAAATCTAACAAAATACCTATGAAATACAGCAGCTGCTGCATGTAAATACTTACTTGGCTGACGTGAACTGGTGTTAATATCAAGTCCAGAACACCAGACCAGCCAGAGAAAACACCCAATGGTATAGCATAGGCTAACGCAATCATCAAAAAACGGAAATTGCTGTGAAGACAACATATATGCAGTTAGCTGCTGTTTGTATTAGAAATGGCTCAGATTAACTTCAAGAGTAAATTGTACCCTAGAATCTATATTCCGCCCATTAAGAAGAAAAGTAGACATCTAAAGAGTGAGTCCGAAAAATCAAGTATAATATTTGGCTATTTCACTGAAATTCCAAGGGCTGAGAAGTTACTGCCTGGCACCATGTTATTAAAGAAAAAGCATTTACTATGTGCGCATCAATGGCACCTTCTTGATTTTTGGAACATGCTAGGCTCTCAGACTTTCTTTGTCTTCACAAGAAATTCAGTTTCTTATGCTATTTTATTACATTGACAGTCTATGCAGTGTTAACATATTAAAAACCAATAAGCATAAATTCAGTGTGACAAAAGCATATTTCATATATAAATTCAGAGATTCAAATTCTTCAAGGTACTCTTGCTGTTTACTTTCTTTGAGAAAAGGAAATTTACTGCATCTCTCCTTGCCCTACCAGCTTGTCACTTGCATTACACATCACAAATTTATTTTCTTAAAACTTATTTTCTACTTAAACAAAAACATAAAAATATTATAATCCAACTCTTTGGAATACTTATGCAAAACATAAACAACAATTTACAATTATATCAGAACTTTTATGCAAGGATCTCAAAGCACTCCGGCAAACAAACCTCCCTGTGAACTAGATTAAGTATTTTTCCATGTTTCCACAATAAAAGAGCCCAAGCTAAACTCATAAAATATGCACATGTAAAAGAAAACTGTGCACATAAATAATTTTGAAGCAGAAACTGGGTGTGTGTATAATTAGCCATTTTTGCACATGTAAATACATATTTTAAACTAATTGTCTTATTTTGCTTCCGCACATGCATTATGTTGGCACAATTTAGGTACTTTTATTTGAAAATATGCCTTCAGTGATTTTCCCCCCAAGGTGACAGTGAGTTCGCAGCAGAAAGAGGAACAGAACCCAAGAATTCTAGCTCAGCAGTAGAACACCTTTCCTCCAACTAATGTATTTGGAATACAGTCCTGTTATTTGAAATCCCCACTTGTTTAAATGTTGCTGTTCCCATTTTCTGTAGAAGCATCACAGAAAAGTACAGTGAAAAAGTCAATATTGTAAGCAATAAACTTTTCAGAACTTCCTCATATGTTCCTCATATTCAATAAGGACAAATGCAAAGTACTCCAGTTAGGAAGGAACAATCAGTTGCACACATACAAAATGGGAAATGATTGCCTAAGAAGGAGTACTGTGGAAAGGGATCTGGGGGTCATAACGGATCACAAGCTAAATATGGGTCAACAGTGTAACACTGTTGCAAAAAAACATCATTCTGGGATGTATTAGCAGGAGTGTTGTAAGCAAGGCAATAGAAGTAATTCTTCCACGCTACTCCGCGCTGATTAGGTCTCAACTGGAGTATTACGTCCAGTTCTGGGTGCCACATTTCATGAAAAATGGGGACAAATTGGAAAAAGTCCAGAGAAGAGCAACAAAAATGATTAGAGGTCTAGAAAACATAACCTATGAGGGAAGATTGAAAGAATTGGGTTTGTTTTGTCTGGAGAAAAGAAGACAGAGGGGACATGATAACAGTTTTCAAGTACATAAAAGGTTGTTACAAAGAGAAAGGAGAAGAATTGTTCTCCTTAACCTCTGAAGATAGGACAAGAAGCAATGGGCTTAAATTGCAGCAAGGGCGGTTTAGCTTGAAAAACTTCTTGTCAGGGTGGTTAAGCACTGGAATAAATTGCCTAGGGAGGTTGTGGAATCTCCATCATTGGAGATTTTTAAGAGCAGATTAGACAAACACCTGTCAGGGATGGTCTAGATAATATTTAGTCCTGCCATGAGTGCAAGGGACTGGACTAGATGGCCTCTCAAGGTCTCTTCCAGTCCTACGATTCTAACACAGTGTTTGTGACCCATTCACATTGGGTGTGTGGGGGAGACAAACGGAGTTATCGTTAACAAGGTACTCTAAACCAGCCAGTGGAAGAGAGTAACTGTAAGAAGCACTCATGGTAGTCTTGAAAGAGATTGGGTATTTATCTGGATACAAGCCAATGCCATTTGAATTCTGAATTCAACTTTCAAGGAAGATAACAGAAAGAAGAATGCTGAAATTTCAGGCAAGAATGAGAACCAACAATGTGCAAACTTAGAACCCAGAATCACTGCCTCAGGGAGACAAAATGACTGTCAACATTATGGGTGAAACAGGGCTCCAGTTCAAATACACTATACTCTGAATACGTTTACACATATTATTCAGCTAATAGTACTTAATGCCTTTTTCTTTCTTTGGGGAAGAGGGAGAGGGGAACAGTAGCAAGAGTGGAAAACATCAGCAATTGAAACCATAAAAAGCGGTAGAGAGAGAGAGAGACACAAACACACACACAAGACTAAGAATCTCTTCTAAAGAAATCAGGTATTTTTTTCAGTTAAAAAGATTCACCTTCACTGTTCATTGAAGGTGAAACAATCAAAGGTTTGTCATCATCTGCACCCTACAAAGTTAAACAGGAGTTGACAAGACGAGTCCTAAAACAATCACCTAAAGCAACAGCATTACTGTAACTGACAGCACACACAAACCCTCTACTGAGAGCAGCTTGCTCTCCATCTAAGGTATTCCAGTTTTGGAATAAAGAGGAAGATAGAAAATGGTGCCTTTACATTCAGCAACCCTAATATTTCTAAGATTTGGACAGTATTTATTTTATCGCTTACTTTTAGGACTCTGTCCAAGGTAGTTACCCAAAGGATGTTCATGTAACCACAAAAAGGCCTCCCTCAAAGCAGGTTCCATAGGACTGAAATTGATCAGCACCAGTTCCCTAGACATGAAGGGGCAATTTGCTAGTTCACACAACTATTGAATACCCCAACCTAAAGCAAATACTCACCAGCAACCACACATCACTGAACAAAACCACTAACCCAGGAACCTATCCTTGTAACAAACCCCA